TACGGGGTGTCCGAAAAATCGCCTACTCCACTTCGGGAGGTGATTCGATGAAACTGCAGGTACTGCAAATTTTGAGATATTAAGCTGAATTTTTTTTATGGATAATAAAACCAGTGCCAAATTTTTTTTAATTTTTGGAGGATAAGTTTATCTCTCTCTCTCTCTCTCTCTCTCTCTCTCTCTCTCTCTCTCTCTCTCCAAATTTTCATTAATGGATAATTTTTCAGAGGGTGAAAGCGCGCGAAGCGCGGGCGAAAAAAAAGAATAAATGAATTAATATTAGAACAGAAAGACAGCAAATGTAAAACTATACCCGGCAGAATGTTTAAACAAAATAGAAAAAAAAGAAACAGAAAGACAATGAAAGAAAGTCAATGGTGGGTTAGCGAAAGGTGTGAAAACGCGCAAGGCGCGAGCAAAAATAAAATTTAAAGACTATAGAGGATTACATTTTTGAAATATTTGACAATATGCTAATCTACATCTATAATATTATCCATTAGTCATTATTTATTAAAAAAGAATTCGAAGATGTAAGTTAAAATTTGAAGAGAAAGAATATCGGTGCTTCTAATTAATGGGTGAGTTTTCCTTCAAAACGGTGCCAAAATTTTCTAATTTTTTGATGATAATTTTGTTGATGAAACTAATACCAAAAGATTACTAATTTTATGGGGATGACTACTATGGGGTTGAAAGTTCGGTTTCATGGGGTTCTATTGGTGCTCCTAATTAATGGGTGAGTTTAAGGAGAGGGGAATAGATCTTGAGCACGCGTCATGCGCGGGCGAAAAATCTAGTATTAATCTATATTTTGCAATTTGATTTTTGTATCAAATTAAAATACTACAAGATGCGCTATGCGCATGCAATTCATTCTTTAACACTATATGCATGTGCCTGTATCCTGTATTAAAACTTTTATGTATAAAATAGTATAAATTAATAGGATAAATAATACAAACAAAATACATAATAATTTATTTAAATAAAAAATATATATATAATTGCACATTGCAATTATATATTGTATATTTTTCCTTAATTGTAATTAAAGAAACTGTCTTTATATCAAATAAACCAAACGAAGTTTAACATCATGATATGTATATGTTATATACAATTAAAATTGGAAATTTACTTTTTTATAAAAATTCATTTATTATCCTCTGACGCATTTTGTTGTGATAATAATATATCGTGATATGTGTACAAGATGGAACAACTTGTTTGACAAAATAATGATCAAAATATTCTTCGCGCGGATAGTTACTCTCATTATCTGAAGTAATTAAAGTGAGAGAATTTATCATATCGTGAATGAACGGCAACGATAAATTTTTAAAACGGACATTTTGTTGCGCATCCGTATAGAGTGTATCAGTTTAGATAGACAGTGTTGCACTGTTACATATATATCAAAATTTTGATATAATAATAGGCAAAGGCGCATTATCGTATCATGAAATTAATACGCAACAATCATATGATGCAAATATGCATCGTAATGATATGACGTAAATATGCACAAAGTATATATCTGCCTGTACATACCTTTTTCAAGAATTGATATATTGTCTTATTATTTAATAGTATTAATAACAGATACTTATACGCAAATTTTTCTATTTGCAGTTGACACCATTAATAGTATTAAAATGTACCTCGGACCTTGTTACCAAAGTGTTGTCTACCGTATCTTTCTTTACAATATTTATAATAAAATATAACGCATTTCGTTTTAACATTAAAGTTGTAAGTTAATGGTTTACAGAGCATCCGTTAAATAAAATTAACTTGTCTGTCAAATATATTTTTATAGCAAAAAGTATTTTAATATTTACAACAATAGTAATACAGAAAGATAATAAAAATTGGCAGGTGAAAAAGTTATTGATGGAGCTTCAACATATACTGAACGAATTAAGGGATAAAAACGAAATTGCTATTGCAGAAAAATATAGTTGTATCGCTAATCGTTACACGATTGCGTTTACGGGTAAAGCAATGTTTATTGATTTTTGCATGTAATTATATTTTCGATTTAATATCTAACAATAAACTGTCAAGTGGACTAAAATCGACTTTAGCATATTATAACTTTCATACATACATACATTTATATATGATTTATTTTATTGCATGGACCTATTAAAGCATTATTAATATCACGTATTTGCATTAAATGGCAAATGTGCTTATAAATTGAAATAGCTATCAATTTTGCAATAAAATTTAATTTTATTAAAAGATATTTCATGCCGTATACACATGTGTACGGTATACATAAAATAATTTTATAATATTACACCCTACAAATGACAATTTATTTACGCTTTTCAGCACTCGTAGTTAGTGGAATATTTGTTAGTATTATAGTTCAATTTTGGTCAATTTTAATTAATATTGACGTACCGATGAATATATCTCACCAACGGTCACGTCATTTATTCATTATAACGGAGTATTTCATCGATCAAGAGAAGTATTTCTATTTGATTTTGTTCCATATGTACGTAGCTTTTTTCATCGGAACGACTGTAATGGTAGCAATAGGTACAATGCTTATTACATATGCTCAACATACCTGTGGAATGTTTAGAATTGCTAGGTAGGAGTATAGACGTAAAAATTACCATATTATATAACGGTCCAATAATAATTACGGCTGTTATACAAGTTATACACAAAAGTGTTATCTTTATATGTATAACATAGTTAAAAATTTTTTAGTAAAAGTTTGTTTTTAGCTGAAGAATTGTGTCATTTAATAAATTGCTATATAATTGCTATACGACATTTGTAGCTATCGTATTAAACATGCAATGAGTATCGACATTTTACAAAACATTACGCCAAAAAATAAAATTCTGATGACCGAGGGCATAATTTATGCGGTCGACATTCACCGGCAAGCTATGAAGTTTGTATTTACGTCGACAATATTCGTGCAATACCTACGTTTAATAATATCTTTTTGTTTTGAAAGACTGTCTAAAGATTTGTTGTCCGCATTCGAGATAATGATGTTTTGCTTAATAACGTGTGGAGTGGTTTGTGTGAGCATCAACCTATTTCAAGTATGTTTTTGAATTTGTATAATAATGTATGAGAGCTGTCCCAAAGTTATTCATATTAATAATAATACTGCCCAATAAATGTGTCAAGAAATTGATTCCAAAGATTTTTCAGATTGCATCATCTGGAAATAATGTTGAGGAATTGTTGTTTCCGTTTATGTTTCTATTTGCTAGTGTCATATATATGTTTATAGCCAACTATATCGGGCAGAATGTAACGGATCACAATAATTACGTATTTTCTACTGCGTGAGAAACATTTCATGAAATAGTATATATAAAAGTTCATCTTTCAAGAGTTGTTTCATCAATAAAAATTAATTAATATTACTGTAAAATAAATCGGCGTAAACACT